TAATTCTAAAATATTCTTCATCTTTTATCTTCAGCATTTTACGACCAAAGCTAGTTTTCGCTTCTCTTATTAGATATTAGCACTTCTGTTACAAAAATAAACTTATCTAGTAGCACATGTAACATAATTATTGTGTGTCCATTGCTTTTTGATTTTATAAAGCGTTACACGAATATGTTTATATTCCCATACATTGAAAATTATTTTTCAGAATTTATATTTTATCTTTTAGTAAATGAATTTAATCTTTTCTTATAAGTATCTCTAATCTATTAAGAATGTCATGATACATATATATTATATTATCATAGATTTGTCGTGTAGTGTCGACCATCCTGTTGTGAAGTACCGACCAAATTAGTGTCGATCAAATTTTTTTGTATTGGAATTGGGTATCATTATTTTTTTATGATAAAAATTGTAGTATATAGTCAACATTTAGCGTTCGAATCGAGTTAACTTCTAAACAATACGAGAAAGAATTTATTTTTCTATTAGACAGTTCTGAAAATAATGAGTTCAAACGATAGATTGTTGTGTTTATTAATAGATAAAATTTAAAAAATCTAGTAGCACAGTTACAACATTGTATTCTATAGTCGTTACTCAGTCTGTATTTTAACGTTTTCCCTGATTCTTATTTTGGATTAAAATATAAATATATAATAATTTTAATATAAAAACAAAAACCGACTTTGCTCTACATCTACATAGGTAAATATCTTTTACTCTTTGTTTTCTTCTATTTTTCAATTCTTGAAAGAAGGTATTAAATTAAATGCATTTTCATATTACGCACAAATTGACATGCTGGTTATCAATGATTCAATTAATAAATAAATAAAATAGTAAATGATTAACATTTTATTGTTATTATATTATACTAATGTATTTGTAAAAAATTAATATAAATGAATATAAAGTTCAAACAATTTTCTAAATAGTTAAAATAAATTACATAGGCCAAATAAATAATATATGACTTTACGTAAGTTAACATGTGCTAAATTTATTAAAATAATTTGTCTATCAGTATCGAGTTAATAAATATAAAAATTTTATAATAGTACCGAACTTTACATAATATTATGCGATGTTTGAAATAATTTTATTCGGAGCATTTTCTTATTGTCTTAAATTTAGTATATAATACTGTTAGTATCCAAAGTCTTTTTATCATTAGACCCTCTGCTAGTAAGAAAATTATATTAAATATTTGATTTTACGTTACTTCAAAACAGAATTTTGAAATAAGCAAATGTCTAGTAATGAAGGGATAAGATGCAAAATATTTAGAGAAATGACTATTGACGGTACATTGACGGCGCATTGGTGTGCTGAATGATACAATATAATAAATTGATATTCGATACGATTTTTTCGAAACTTTAGGTTGATGTGGAAAAATTTTATTTTAAACTTCTAATTTGTTTTTGCATAAAAAATCATTTCTTGTTCACTTACACAAAAGATGCGTAAACCTTATTTTATTATATTTAACTAAATTATTGCAAATTGTAAAATAAATTAATAAAATAATTTCTGATTCTTTAGATCATAGGTATTGTATTGTAAATGAATATTTTCTTTCCCATAATTTTTATCATAAATTATTTTCAAAAATTTTTTATTTTTGCTAAATAGTAACCTACTATGATTTTTGAGAATAATTTTTCTAATGATTTTTTGAATAATTACTGTACCAATTATTATTTTACTACACTACATTCAGAAAAAGATAAGAGCAAAAAGTAACAAGCAAGTGGATTATTTAAATAGCTGTATTTCTTTATTGAACTGTATCTTTTTATAACTAATCTATCACTTTTTGTACTATTAACTTTTAATTCCATAGAATGGATAGAATTTCACTGAAAGAATTTTTCGTTTTGTATAACTACTAAAATTATTTTTAATATTATCCTCTTCAACATTGAAAAAATAAAAATAATATTAAAGTTTGAATAAAAAAAAATTGATATTGCAACCATCATGACTTTAGTACAAGAAATGTTGAAATGGCTATAAACCATAATTCATACAAATAATTATTTTATGAAACAATAAGAAATATAGTGAAAAGAATATTAAAAATTAAAAATAAAAGATGGGTGCAACTTAGCAGATTGCAAAGAAATTATATATAGAAAGTCTTCCTTTAAGTTTAGATTTATTAATTACAGAATCAAATATACCAGTTTGTTCATATATTCTCATGTTCTTGAAAAATTGTAACCTTAAAATTTAAAGTAACATAACTTATTGCATAACCATAATTTAAATATTATATAATCATTATAGATATTTATACTACAGAAGCAAACCTCATATGAAGTTTCAAATGGTCAATAAAAAAAAAATATATATATATATAGAAAATCTGGTTAAAATTTTGAACAATCTGGGGGAGATAAAAACAGTGATATAATATTTATTGAGGAAGAATATGAGTGTAAGAATTATGGATAAACAATAGGTTTGAATCATAGAAAGGCGGGGAGGGGGCTGAAAAGTTATAATCTGCAATTAAAAAAGGTAGAGGACTATTACAATGGATATAGGACAAAGTTTCAAATATACTATATGTAAATAAAAAAAATGACAAAAAAGCTTACATTACATATTTATAAAGAAACAAAATTTCTCAATAGTAACATATGTAATAATAGAAACTAGAGACAGAAAGATAATATAAAATAGAAGAGTTTACAATGGATGAAAGAATAGACTTAGAATATATTGAAAGAAATGATAAAAGCCTATATATATATAACAAAGATAGAAAATAGAATACACGAAGGTGAGACAGACAAAGAATAAATATAATGTGTACTACATGTAAACATCTGCAAAAAAAACAGTGAAACAGAAAACAAAAAAATGGGTGAGACACACATGGGTGAGATAAACAGTATAAAAACCAAAAAAGAAAATACAACAGTTTTGATAAAATTAAAAAATGAAAAAAAGGCAAAGACAAGAAAGAAGAGTTCTTTAAGAAGAAGCAAGAACTAAAAGATATTTTAAAATTATTATATAACTACATAATATTCAATATTATGTAACTACCTTAAAAAGATCTGGTATATTTTAATGAAATAATTTATGTTCTTCAAGTATTTAAAATAAATTATATACAGTTTATAACAAAATGTTATGGTTACTTTAATATTTAAAAAAATGTCTAAATTTATTTAAATATATAATGTTAAAATAACTTCTGTCATAATAGTGTTTAACATAGAGATATCTACATTTTGGTAAGATAAATAACAATAAAACCTTTGATCTCTGATTAAGAGTGTCTAAAAGTATAAAAATTAAGTACTGCCGAGTCTAAATACGTGAACAATGACTGCGTGTCGGTAAAACACAGCTTACCCGTCGCAAATGTATATTTTGCCGCCATGTCAACATTAAGAATCATTCCGACATTTTCTCTGGATGATTTCTTCTTCGAAAAAATCTACAAAATAGATACCCTATAGCAAATTCATGCTGAATAAAGAACTTTGTTGACCAATTGCAACTATTCACGAGCATAAATAATTATAATAAAGGACATTAATAAATATTTTAATTATTTTATTTATAAATATTTATAAATATTTTAGATTTCATGTAATTCATTTTAGCAAAAAATCACGCGTTTTTTGGAAAAACTCATATTTTTTGAAAATTAAGATAATGAAGCAATTTTGTTTACGAATTCATATTCAGAGAGGTAAGTTCTACAAGAGTTATCCAATAGATATTATAGATAAAAAATCTCGTCCGAAACGACAGCGACGCAATATTTTTCTAAATTATATTACTCTCATTTTTTTACTATTCTTAATTTTTGTAGAATGATTTATTGTTTTACGCGAGATATGTCCCGATAAACGAAAGACATATAATACAACAAGTAGTATAGTTTACGATTAGAAAATTTATTAAAATTTTGTAATCTTTTTACAGCTATAATTTTTGAACAAATAAGTAGATTCTTAATATTAAAAGTGGTATTTCTGAATTCCATTTGATGAGTTCCTTTAAATAAAAAGAAGGAAACAAAAGAAGGTTTCCCACAGGTAAAATTTACCCCAAGAATGTTTTACAAAACAAATAATATTAACCTAATAACAATAACCTTCGCCATTTTGACTAAGAATAGTAAATCAATGAATTTACAATACTACATAACGGTATTTATTTAATAGCTTATCAGGATATCAATTGAAATAATACAAAAAATACATAATTTCTAAATATATACTTAAGTTTTTTCATAAATAACTTTCATAATATAATTAATGTTATTATATTTTATATCGAGATATTAAAAAATTTTAAACATTTTAAAAATAAAAGATATAAATTCAACTATATCTATTTCAGAAATATATAGTACAATATAATTAAAATTATGCTAATTTTATATATTAAAATATTTTATTGTTTTTAATGATGTATATAACTTTCACTGTCCAATAGTAAAAATTGAATAAAGGACCTATTTTAAGTCATATATAATCTAATATTGAAGTTTCCTTTCTTCATATTTTTTGATTATAGTATGTAATTTGAAAAGTACATGTATATGTATTAAGTTTTGAAAGTAATCGAATGTAATTGAACGATTAGAAATTTTAAAAGAAAGCTGTTACATTAACGAGTGAATTTGTAAAAAATATCAAAATATAATTACATCTAAATAACTAAAATATAAAATTTGTGTATAATTTAAATAGGTAAGAAATATAAATAAAATGTCCATAAATGTAAATAACAACCGCGGATAAATAATCGCAATTAATTATTTTTAATATATGTAATTAATTATTTGTTATTCAAAAACATGAAATCATATTTAAAAGCATAGAAAAATTTGGTACTAATAGAAAAATTAATTATGATATGTATAATAATAAATAAAAATTCGTTAATATTAAACTTAACGTTAAATTGTAAGTGTAAAATAATATTGAAAAATATTTTTCTTTATTGAAGGTGATATAATGCAGAGATCCATTCGATTGAAACGTGAATTTGAAAGACTTAATCAAAATCCTATAGAAGGCATTTCTTGTTATCCAAAATCTGATAATTTTGAAAATTTTGTCGCAACAATTATTGGACCAAAGGAAAGTCCATATAGTGGATACATTTTTCAATTGTCAATAGATATTTCTGAACAATATCCATTTGAACCACCAAGGATAAATTTTCAAACACCTATTTATCATCCAAATATTGATAACAAAGGTCGTATTTGCATGAATCTTTTAAATATGCCACCAAAAGGTAGTTGGAAACCAACTATTGGATTAAGAAATCTTTTGGATGCTATACAATGTTTATTAGGAAATCCAAACCCTGATGATCCTTTGATGGCAGATATAGCCCAAGAATATAAATTGAATAGAGAAAAGTTTGAAAGAAAGGCAAAACAATTTATGAAACAAACAGAAAATAAACTTTTATAATAATAAATATGATAAACATATAAAAGAGTATATTTTAATTGTATGATATAATTATTATTTTTTATTTCTTTTATAGCATAGCATTTGTTATATAGCATACTATTATCTTTTTACATATATTTTTTTTATATATTTAATATTCCTTTATTATTAATATCATTTATTACTTGAAAACTTACATATCTTTGCCAAACTAAACTTTATTAGAATGTCTGTAATTAGTAATTGCAAATTATAGTTTTAGTTTGCAACATTCTAAAATGAAAGTGAATCATTTGAAATATTTAAAATGAAACATTCAAAATAAAATAGAAAATGAATATATTTTGACCTATTTTTTTAAAACTATTTCAAGTCTCAACAAAATTTTTGTTAAAATATTTATTTACGTCGGAAAAATATATACTCTGATGTTTTTAAAATATTTTATAATATTGGTGACCTTTTCTTTTTGATATTTTAATTATAAATAGATATATAATCATAAATTATTTCATAATATCATAGATTGGTACACAAGTATCACATATGGACTAGTTATATCTTATATCATCAATAGCATAATGATTTCAGTTCTTTAAATAGTTTTTTTTATGTATAGTCATTTGTTTTACTTTTTAAATAATATCTCTTTTTTGTTATATATGTTTAACTATTCATTATTATTTATTTATGAAACAATTTTTTAATATAATGTTCGAATCTATTAAGAGGATTTAATACATGCTTCCTTAAATAATTACTGTAATCAACTTTGTATATCATTTTAATAAAAAACATTGTAATATAAGATTTTATAATCATAAACAGTTTATATACTAGTATTTAGTTTGTTATAGTAATAATAGTAGTTTATTAATCCATTTCAGTTTTGGATGTGTTCCAGTTCTTTATACATAATTTCAACATTAACGCAGATTATACATTTTTCTCTCTTTATTATATACATCTGTTACGTTTTATGAAAATAATATGATAAATTATGATAATATAATAATATCTTATATGATAAAATAGAATAATATAATAATATCTAATTATAAGCATTGTATTTAGTTTGTTCTATAAATTTCTATTTATTATAATTTTTCATTTTTTAAACTCATACTAGTTTATTTTTTCAATTTTGAATTTATTAAAATATATATTGTTATGTATATTACTTAAGTTCTGTAACTTTAATTTAAATATCTAAAAAAAATTATACAGTCAAGGGTATTAAGTACTACGATAAAATCAATTCTTTTCAGAGTTACATTATCATCAAATAAAATAAAGTTTTATTACAAAATTTATGGAAAAAGTTAACAACTTCGAAAAAAACACAGTAAGGTAAATAATTCATAAATTTTCCTATAATAACGAACTTTTTACAATTAATAAGAATAATAAGTGATTTATAATAACTTTATTCTACATAATTTTGAATATTCTTACATGATAAAGGAAACATATTTATCTAGTAAAAAAATTAAAGGAAATTAAAATTATTAGTATTTAAAAATTGTTATTACGATGAAACATGAATGACTTGAATATCAATAATGTAATTACTTTTTATGACAACTTTTTAACAGCTTTCACAATATTTCATTAAAATTAATATTATATAGACAACAACTTATCATTATAAGGAAACATAAATGTAATTACTATCAGTTAATTCTTTAATATTGCTAATTAAAAATGACAAATTCCTAATTCATTATTCATAATGAATATGCTGAAAACATTTAATCTGTGTTTATAAATACAATATTAAATTCGTATATTTGTATATTGTGGGAAACGCACAAATAATTTTAAAGGCAGAGAATTTTACAATTATTTTATATTATTTGGAATTTAATTATATCAAATAATTTTGAATGATCGTATATTATTCATATGTTATACATTTATATTTTATAAATTATATAGATATTCATCTCCATAAGAAAAAAATTAACTTTTATCGAAAATTTATTTGAAATATTTTTTATTAAAAAAACAAATTATAGTTAAGAATAACTATAGTTTAAATTTGATTAACCATTTGTTTCATTTACAACATGAAAATTTACTGACAATTATTTTTCAAGTAAGTAAACATTTGTTTAGATTTCAATCTATACCATATTTGTAATAATATGGATATACTTTATTCTTTTTATAGAATTCAAATTCATTTATTCTTATTTATTTATAAAGTAAAATAAAATTGAAGTAAAATTATCTATCATGTATTTTATACAACCAATAAAATTTCTTGTAATACGCACTCTTTCGTAATATAGTAAAACTACTAATGTGTTTGTAACGCCCTCTAGAAAGAAAAGTTTGTATTTCTTCAATAAATGTCGTTGAGCGGATCTTCTCGTTGCGTCGACGGAAGCATACTTGCACATCAATTTGCGAATCAATAGTTTGCACATGCAAGTAGTAGTACTATATACATACAAAGAAATCAAAACAAATATAATTTAGAAACAACAAACTAAATTAAAAAGAATTAAAAAATTTTAGGAAGTGCAAAATAAAAACGTTTAATTTGACCTTTATAGAATTTACTTTAGCTTGCAAAGAAATTCCGGAAGTTAACTAAAGAAAGAAGAAAGTCGCCATTTTGTGCTCATTGAGAAGGATAAAGACTTCGTGAATGACGGCTTGATTCAAACTGAATAATCTTTGTGTAATTATTGTTCCTTTGTTTTTTTCTTCGCCATTCGTTCGGCTTTGCCGTGTTAAGCAGCGTTGATGATTGGGATTCCGCGTGACGATCGACATAAGATCACGGTTAAAATCCGCAACAATATGAAAAGGAGCTCTAGTCGTGACACTCCTCCTCCGCGCGTCAAAAGAAGCAGATCATCGATGGGACGGTAAATATTTTTCATGTTTTTAAATTTATTTCAAAAAATTTAAATGAAGTATAATTTTTGTGTTTCATGTTTTTCACTAGAATAGATGTATCTTATGTTACTTAAAAAATTTATATTATAAATTACTGAAAGACTTTATTCTATGTTATAATAGAGAATATTTTAATGTTATTAGAGATTTTTTAATTAATTTACAGATATGATGATTCTAGTGATGAACGAATAACTCCTGAAAGAATCCGTCGACGTAGTAGAGGTGCAAGAAGTCCTAGTCCTCCAACACGTGCCTCTTCTCATGCTCGTTATGTAGAATCAAGTTCTCATAGGGATGATTATTTAAGAACACCCAGAGAATTACCTCCAGAACGTCCATATAGCTACAAAGTGCTTTGTATCAGTTCAATTCATCCAAAAGCAAGTGATGAAGTGATAAAAGATACTCTTTATAGAGAATATAAAAAATTTGGAGATTTTTCTATTCGAATTTCTCATGAATTAGATGAACGTGTTGCATATGTTTGCTTCAGAAGTTCAGAAGATGCCAGAGATGCTAAGCATGCAAAACCAAGAATTATTATGTATGACAAGGTAGCACTTGTTGAACCAGTTTATGAAAGACCTGATACTTATCGTCGTCCAAGATCAATTACACCACCTGATTATGAAAGATATTATGCCAGAAGTCCTGGTCCAACAGATAGGCATAGACCTTTAGAACGATATGAAAGAGTTTATGGACCTCCTGTTGGGTTGCCTCCACCACATAGAGAAATGAGGCGCGAAGCAATTCCTCCTCCTCATCATGAATTTGTTAGACCACCAATTCATCATGGTCCACCTCATGTTCATCCTGGTCCACCACATCATTATGGTCCTCCCAGACATATGATGATACGACATCCAGTTCATGGGTTTGAGCGTGTGGAAAATAAAAAAGATAAATTTCCCAATTATTTACATCATGTTTCTCCAGAAGATGACCCACTAGCAACAAGAACACTTTTTGCAGGAAACTTAGAAATTAATATTACAGAAGAAGAATTAAGAAGAATTTTTAGTAAATATGGAATTGTTGATGATGTTGATATCAAAAGACCCCCACCAGGAACAGGAAATGCTTATGCTTTTGTCAGATTTCAGACATTGGATATGGCACATAGATGTAAAGTTGAACTTTCTGGACAATACATAGGAAAATTCCAGTGTAAAATTGGTTATGGAAAAGCTACACCTACTACAAGAATTTGGGTTGGCGGTTTAGGACCATGGACTTCAGTTCCACAGCTAGAAAGAGAATTTGATCGATTTGGAGCAATAAAAAAAATTGATTATATTAAAGGCGATAATAATGCTTATATTTTATATGATTCGATTGATGCAGCTCAAGCTGCTGTAAAAGAAATGAGAGGATTTCCCTTAGGTGGGCCAGATAGAAGACTGAGAGTTGATTTTGCAGATGTAACTCCTGGATTTGGATTTAAACCAAGACCTTATCCAGAAGAAAGTGGAGAATTTAGACCAAGACCAGTAGATTATGAACCTTCTTATGATCCTTATGGACCAGATAGTGATTTTGGCTATGGACCAAGAGGATTTAGAGGTAGAGGATCTGCTCCATGGCATGAAAGAAGGGGTGGAGGAAGAGGCGGATATCGTGGAACTTACCCAGAAAGTTATATGAGAGAAGAAGCTGATTGGTCTAGTCGCAGACCACCTCCAGAATTAGAATATGAAACACCAAGAAGTTTACGTCGGTCTTTATCAAGAGAACCTGGTGTAGATAGATCAAGATCAAGATCTCCGCGTAGAAGACAAATTGATTCTGATTCAGATTCAGAGAATACTCACAGTGGAATGCTTTCTACATCTAGAACATTACCTGAAGTGGCAAGAAAATCAATAGCAGTTTGGCAAGGAGCATTAATCTTAAAGAATTCTCTGTTTCCAGCTAAATTTCATTTAACTGATGGTGATACAGAAATAATTGAGGCCTTGATGAAAGATGAAGATGGAAAACACATGTTAAGAATTACACAAAGATTACGTTTAGATCAACCAAAATTAGATGATGTGTCAAAGAGAATTCAAACTTCTAGTTCACATGCTATTTTCCTAGGATTAGCTGGTTCAAGTACAGTT